TTTTTTTTTCCTCAGCAGACCTTCCCATGGTAGCCGACATCATCTACTAAAACGATCTGTAATTTTCCGTAACAAAAAATTATTGTGATCCATAAACCCCATTACACAAGGGGCACAGATTAAAGTTACTCCGGTTCGGTGTTCATTAACTTTTAACTGACGTTCTCGAGGAAAAAATCTTGAACTTTTTCCTAAAGAAAAACGTGAGAGCCGAACCCACGACTGGCCAAGTAGTAACGATTGCAATGTATGCCAGCAGCCACAAGGAACTCCGACTTTGACGGGAAAGCTGGTTTAGGCATTTCTTTACTGGGGTAACTAGGTCGCGTTCTAAGGGACGAGCAGTGCCCTGTGGCTGATTAAAAATCGTATTTGTGTTTTTGTTTTGTTGGACTTGGACAAGCTCCTCGTCATTGGTCTTGCTCTGATGCACATTTTCCTCTTCTTGTTGAGCGGCTACTTCATTGTTTACTGCACCGACCATACCGTCTTCTGATACATGCACATATGGGGCTTGATCTATCGAAGACTCTAGAGGATTGGCACAGGAAATAGGAACAACCTGCATTTCATAATCAATATGATTAAGGATGAGAAGAGCTTACACAAAAAGATTATTTCTTCAAATGAAAGCTTAAAGTAGGATTTGTTCCTCTACCTCTTTTTTCTTTCTTACTGGGTTGGATTGCAGAGCAACAAAAAATTCATCAACAGCCCTTACCCACCTGAGCAAGGGAAATCATTAAACCCGAGTAGATCGATAAAATTGATGTAAAAGTCTTCACCACATAATTAACGCCTAACTAAGAGCGTCTCAGGCCATCGAGGGCGGGCGACTGAATAAAGAGAGTGGACCCGGTGTTTTTTTTCTCATTGATTTTCATGACTGCAGTATATTGGTGTGACTGTTTATAGGCATACGTACCAATTTAAGAATGAACTGCTACATTAAACGATCTTGCATTTCGTTGACAGTGTAATCAACATGTGTAACTTTTAATAAACACTAAATTTGTAAGAAAAGGAAATTACCAGACACTTCTTGCAGCTATTCCTTCGAAAAAGGGCAAATGCCCTCCATGTTGAGTAGTAGCCAAGACAACATTAGTATTTAGCCTGAAGATTTTCACCATTAGATTGTTCAACGAAAGCATACATATGTAGAAAGATCATGGAATAAAAGGGAGACACTGTATTTGTCGTACATTCATGGCAAACCTTTTACGACAACATTATATTTGAAAACTCATAATCATAAAAAAGGTCTCCTTTTGCGTCTCAACGCAAATAGGCTATCGCTGAACCATCTGTGAACAGTTTTTGGAACTCATGCTGATACAAGACATTCCTTCATGCAAGTATCGAAAAGATTTTTTCGCCATAGAGTGACAGTCGGTAGTTTGTACAACAGGATGATTAATGCATCAATTAAATAAAATGATACGTTGTAATTTGGCGTACGCATTACTTAAGTTTTTACCACTAAACTCACAGCACACAAATCGGCTGCACCAACTTCAAGATCATGGAATCAAATCACCAAACTCTTTTAGTCCTCTCTAAACTAAAAGAATAAACTGAATAGAAATTTTTGTGCGACATTTTAAAAGTTTGACCTTAATCACATACCTGCACTCGTCCCACGGTATCGCTTCGCTTGTGCATACTGGATCGTCTAACGAGCTAATGCAAAGAAGGGGCACCGTTACACCCCCAATAAAGTTGGAAGCACTACAACGCCTATAATATGTATCCACAGTCTGAAAAAAGTAAATGATTCAGTCATTGAGCATTTGCCCCCCGAAAAATAAATAAATAAAAATGCTGAGTAATATTACCTCATAATTACCAACAACACGAGTTGCACAATCATCAAAGTCCCGAACGGAACGTGCCTGCAAACAACAGAATCAATGTTTTGTTCCAAAATCACCAATGTAAAAGAAAAAAAAAAAAAAAAAAAA